TCCATCTCTTTCTACAACAGAGACAAAATAAGTTGTCATGAAAGAAATTTGATTTTTTAAGGATGATTTTTTTTTATTCTTCTGTTGTAGATATTGGTTTATGATTTATGTAAATCCGGGTATAAGTTAACTGTTATAAATTAAATGTTATAAATCTGGGCATAGATTTATGTATAATAACTCACTTTCTGTCCTTTCAATCGATTTTTTATTCTTCTATTTTTTTTATTCTTTTAAGAATGATTCGTATTTTTTATTTAATCGATTTAAAAATACAGGCGGCATCCTGGGCATTCGCCGGAGCAAGCATCTAGTTGTATATTAAGGACTACAGTTACACAAACGAACTAATTTTCAATCATTATTTTTAAAATTTATGTACATATCGTGATAAGTAAAAGAAATGAGTAGAGATAGTGATAAATCTTTGTTTAATGTGTTTGAAATACTAAAAATTTGGATAAATAGAGGGACAAAATTAAGAGAGCGATAAATATTTTTGTGTTAAAAGGTAAGGACTAATGAGAGAACTAAATCTCATCAGGAAGAAATTGACAGTGTGATTTGTATGGATTGACGAGATTTTTTCGGTTTAAATTACAAAAAAACCCCGAATTTTACAACAGCAATAATAAGTGGAACCAATGTTTCCATTTTATTTCTCTCCGGCCTAAAAAACAATGTTGTCGGAAAGAAGACCGTGACAGCGGTGGTAACACTAAAGAAGGATACTCTAATTGTGATTGCGATATGGGTTATTGTAGTTGCAGCGGATGGCCCGCAGATCACGGCGGCGGAGAAAGGCTTGATCTTGTTAACGATGAAAGTGGAGAAGAAGACCCTGTTGTTGAACAGAGTGTTTTGAAGCCTAATAACCATTATTATTATGGTGCCTAATAACCATTATTATTATGGTGGTGGTAGATCATTCCAATATGGAAACATTTCAGAGTTTCAGTTTAACTATTATTATTATGGTGGTGGTAGATCCTTCCAATATGGAAACATTTCAGAGTTTCAGTTTAACTATGTTGGAGATGGGAAAGATTACAGAGCAAAGTTCACCAAAGGCTACAAGAGTGAAGAATTCGTGGAGAAGAAGACCGGTAATCCGGGGTTGATGGCAATATTGGAGGGTTAAAAATTGAGCATGAAACCCAGGTGAAATCCACTAAAAAAAGTCACCTCCATCTCCAAGAATAGAAAGTGAAAATCTTTTTTTACCGTGGCTGTTAGTATGCATTCTCTATGGATACGGTTGTTGATTGGAGTCATATAGGGTAACGATTCGAATGATTCTTTACTTTTTTTTTTCCCTTATTGCTTTTTCCTTTCTGCTTTTTGATGCTTTTTGAATGTGAGCTCATTTTTGGGAGCTTTCTCTAGTGTTAAATGAACTGGTTCTTCTGTTTGGTTTGTGGTTGGGGAATATCGATCAAGTGCAGCGTTGAATCATATATGGTTTATGACTAATGCTTTTTGAATTTTATCCAAACAGCATAATCGTGACACTGTCATGTTTTTTTTATGGCAAAAAAACTTCAAAGTACTGTTTCATGTAGGCAGCAAGGTGTTGTTTGATTAGAATAAAAAAAAAATTAATAAAAATAAAAATTGAGTGGATGTGTTTTGAAAGATTGATTTGACATCCACCTCTCCAACCATTGGGACTTGTCTCAGTGACCACTAGCATGTCATGCTAGGTCAGAGGTGGAGGGATCGAATCTCCGCTCCTTCACTTCCCTTTCCCCATTCGCATCTTCTCTCCTCAGGTTTGGAATAAGTACATGTTGCACTTTATTGTGGGGGTCTCACCCCACTTTGTGTGAGACAATATACATGTAATTGTAGTATTTCAAAAAAAAAAGACATACACCTCTCCACATTGTAAAGCCTGATTTATATACTGTATTTCCTCATCATATTATTCATACAATTTGAAAAAAAAAAAAAAAAAAAAAAAAACATCGCACAATGTGAGATGAATGTCTTCGTGTCACTATTTCATGCGCAATGCATTCTTAAGCATGCTATGTTCATTTTAGCCTCTAGAAGACTACAACTGGTCAGAATATCTTTGACTAATTTTTTTTTTTTTTTTTTTTTGGTCAAGTATTTCGAAATGTTGATACACTATGATATCAATATATAATTTAGAAAAAGCGGAAATATTTTACCATTACAACATGCCAACTTTATGATCAATTACCTTGTCCCTAGTACGTATTTGATTCCTTCCGTTAACAAATGCATTTTCACCCACTTGTCAATACAAAGAAATACTTGTATACTTTTAACTTTTTACCTTCTTTAGTCTATCATTCCATTCTATAAATAGCCCCTATTGCACATCCAAATTCAGCAACACAATCCCTAATTGTACTAAAATAAAAAAGAGGCAATAAAACAGCTCTCTTAGCTACAAACTTTTCTCCAACAAAATACCATGTCCGACTCCGACTATGAAGATGATGATGATTATGGATGCTACTCCTATTCTGACTACGGTGGTGGCGGTGATGGAGGACAGTACTCCCCTCCGGGATACTCTATTGGAGGATTCTGGCACCAACAAAACTATGACAAGCATTTTGAAACATATTCATCATCAGATGATGAAGAAGATCATCAACCAATATAATCCCATCTCGAGATCTGGCAATGAAACCCCATTTTGGCTCATACCAAGCCGAAAACACCTCAAAATTTAGCTCCGACGACTATGAAGATGGAAAACGTTACTCGGGCAAGTTCTCCCGAGCTTACAAGGCTAATGATTTCGTGGAGAAACGCAGCGGGAATCCAGGATTCAAGGAAGAAGTGAAGTACGAGTTGAGCTATAAGGTTGATGACAAGGTTAAGGGGTCCATTATTGAGTACAACACTCAAGTCAAAACCTCCAAGAAACTCACCATTACCAACCCTTATTCTTCTTCTTCCAGCTCTATTTACAACAATGATGACCCAGAAATTCACTCAGTCTTCAAGGATCTCAACATTAAGTAGTAGTACTACCTTTTTAGTGGTTTCCTTGCTCATGAAATAAAAAGGGTTCTCTAGCTAGCTAGGGATCTTTGTTATTGTGTTGTGCTGTTTCTTTCTTTTTCTTTCTTTTTTTTTTCTTCGTTTTATGCTTTTGTGTGAGTTCAATTATGGAGGGTTTGGAACTGCAGCACTTTGTTGGCTTTTTTTGTAGTATTTGTGTAACTACTGGTGTTTGCTGCATTTTTATGATTCCGCTTATCACGTTCCTTTTGATCACTTACTTCCAACATAACATATAGTGAGATAGAGGACTAATAAAATGGACTAGCAGTCTTCCTATTTCTCCGAAATGTTGACCAAATATCTGGAATCAAATTAAGGACGTTGATTAGTTATCGTTAGTGATCAGTGAACGAGTTTTAGTTGCCGTAACTGAAAGAATAGGAAATTGAAACTAATGTGTACTTTAGAATCACTACATTGAATAAATGATCATTTTCATCCCGGACAATGATTTGTTTTTCTCTTTTTTTCCCCGAAACGTTAATGTCATTTACAACTCTCGGCAATAGTAAATAATGTTTTCTTTTTGTTGTCGGCATTCCGGTTGATGGAATATGTAGCCAAAAGATTGAAGTCTTTTCCATGCTCGTAACCTTTAATAAATATGGTTATCAATAAAAACCCCCCATTTTCTCTCTGTTTCAAAATATTTTATTTCATTAAATTTTTTTTTTTTCGAATTGTATTAAAAATAAATATAAATTAAACTTTCATTCCAAAACGGGAGAGTTATGCATTGGCGTTTAATGTTCAGAAAAATTTTGAGGGCTATTTTTTTGGTGGGTCATTTTGTTTCTTCCTTCGCTGACCACAAAGAGAGCGTTGATGATTAATATCTGTAGCCCAGTTTACTAATATTACAGCCAAGAGCCCAATAACTAAAAAGGCACACTCAATAATTCAACTTAAACCAAAATAACTTGAATTTAGGAGAGAAGAATCAGACAACATAGAACAGAGAAATTGCACTTTCTATTTGCAAACCAGATTTTTCTAGTTGGGAAAGGAAAAATATAATGATACATATTGAAAAAAAAAACAAGGAAAATAACAAAGAATCGATCATACCTATTCATTTTTAACACGTTTTTCATTTGGGGTTTAAACATTTAAGGTTAAGGCATAGTTTAAATGTTTGGCAACTCATTCCTTGTAAGTTTTTCTTTTAATTTTTCTCTATATGTATCTCTATTCGAAAAGAAAAACTCTCAAAAACTTAAATAAATAAAACTGAGAAAAAGGAAGCCTAAAAGACATTAGAAACATTAGCATATTCAACTTGATCATTTTGACAATATTTCTATCGATCCATAATTTGCTGGTACGTAGACTTGTTATAGTTAAGATCCATTAGTCCGCAACCTTTTTTTGAACCGCCAGTTATGAGAGATGGGAACTAGTGCTCCTTGGACCGGAAGATCTCAAACCGTTATTATAATTGAAAATAAAATCATTTCAGTGGTCATTACTTTAGTCAATGTCTTGTCTTCCAAAAAAAGAAAAAAAAAAACACCTCTTAAAATGTTTGAAGTGAAATATTCGGGCTCAGTGTGCTTCATTTTCAGGTTCTAATGACATTATCATTTCCTGTATTAGTCTTAATCATCATATTTATTGTGAGAGCAACAATTATGCGGATTGTGACATTCAGAAATTCAAATCTCCTCGAATGCTTGGAATAGCTTTTGTTTTGTCTTTCAAAGGGAAACCATTGGTTCAATTAATTAAATGAAAAAGATGTTTGTGTCAGTCATTTATGTCTACGCACCTCTCAAATCTTCAAAAAATTTTCAACAGCAAGAAGATAAAAAATGAAACATATACCACAAGGCAAAGCCAAGTAGTACAATTTGGCCTCCAGTTCTGATCAAAATTGTTACATAAACCAAATCAATTTGCGCAAATTCCGATTCATGATCTCAAAAAAAAAATGTATATATAGAGAAGCAAAAGGACATAACATTATTATTCACAACAATTTACAACACCCATAATTAATCAGCTTATCCAGCTTTGTCTCAATATAGTAACCCCTTTATGACTAAAAAGAACAAACAATGTACTACTGCCAAAGCTCCACAAGAGCCAAACTCTGAATCGCCTATGATCACATATTGTATCCAATGGCATAATCTTGGTAGATTCCTTGATCAGATTGATGATGATGCATAAGGGTAGTCGAATCCCACGAGCTCGAAGATGCCGAGTTCGTGTCGATGTCATTGTTAGACCACCACATCATGGCATCCCTCGCACTATCCATTTCTTTCAAAGAATCAAATTCTGGCAGCTGATGATGATTCTCTGAAGACAGAAAAGAGCTGGCTGTTTTGCTGTTCATGTTGAGGAAGTTGTCGATTTCAGCTTGCGTAAATGTCGAAGTATTATTAGGCTCCAACATCTCAGATGATGTTTTTGGCTCCACAGATGATGAGTTTAGCTGATTGTTTCCACTCATAGAGCTCTGTAGCTCTTGCTGAATCCTAGCTGACATAGCCGCTTGATTGAGGAATTCGACGTTTTGTTGAACATCAGCAGCATTAGGACTAATATTGTTAACCTGTGGCAAAATTGATGGATTACTACTGTTTTGGGATTGATTCAGATTTTGGAGGGCCTGAAGCATTTTTTCTTGAAGAGGGTTCAACTTAGGCCAAAGTGCAGGATTGTTGTAAAAAGAGAAAGGGTTCTGAAGGCTTTGGAGTTGCATATGGAGTTGAAGCCTTTCCAGAGCTGAGTTGCTCAAGGTGTTTTCTTCTCCACAATTTGCCAGCTGATCCTTTTGATCACCTGAGAATCTGTTATTCATTTGGGACTGTTTTCGCCGTCCGAGTAATTTCTTCTTCAACCTTGTGTTCCAGTAGTTCTTGATATCGTTGTCAGTTCTTCCAGGCAATTGGGCTGCAATAATCGACCACCTAACACATGCAATTTTCCCACAATCAAAACAAAAAATTTTTTGGTTTATGATTTTTACTGTCAAATCACATGTATTTACTAACTAACTAAGCAAGGAATGAAAGAATTTGTTCTTCAGACAAAAGCAAAGTTGACAAAAGACTAAAGGACAAAGGTTTTATAAGGAGCGCCAGATAAATATGTACCTGCTTCCAATACTTATGTAGAGGCTGCATATGATATTGTCTTCTTCTTCAGTAAATCCACCATGTTTGATGTTTGGGCGGAGATAATTCAGCCATCTCAATCTGCAACTCTTTCCACATCTCTTAAGCCCTATAATTACAAAAAAGAGATTAAACTCGTTAGCTACCTATTTAATTTATAATCTAAAAGTTTTTAAAGTAATGATCTTTCAATGATTTAAAAAAGGGTCTCTAAACATACCAATTTTCTGAGGAAGAGCAATCCAATTTCCACCGGTTCCATGAGTTTCGATATAGGCCTTGAGCTTAGCGTCTTCTTCAGGAGCCCATGGACCTTTCTTCACGTTAGCTTTGTCACAGCATGGAGCTCTGCCCATCTTCTTCCTTAATTTCTTTTCTTCTTGAAGCTTCTTTCCTTTGCTATATGTAGACTTGTTGGTTCTTCTTGAAGTTGCGGACAAAATCAGGATCAACAGAAGAAGAAGCTTAGCTGTCGTTGCTAATTACGTTTGATGGAAAAAATGTGTTGGGTGGAGAAATCCGGGGACAAAGACCAGGGTTTTATAGGTAGGAAGAAATGGAGAGGATGATGATGTTGATGCTTTATGTTGAGGATGACCAAAAAGTCTTGCCACCATTTTTTTTTTCTTTATCTAGGGTTTCTTCTTAATTGGTTATCTCTTTCTCTCGCACAAACACACACACACACACAGTCACACATTTGGATTAGTTCAGTCAGCGTTTTTTTTAATTCCATTTTCCTGACTACTAGTGTTGCGACAAAGAACGCTGAAACAGAAGGCTATCAAATCAAATATAAAAATCTACTCGCTTTTTTTGAATTTATTATTATTAATTGAGCAAATTGTTTGTTTATTATGAGGGGGGTATAATAGATCGAAGGGGCTACTAACAGCTAAAATCAAGAAAAGAAGGCTCCATTTATGCTTTTAGTTTGTCAACAGCCTCTTTGAAATGTTCCATTCATTATTAGTCTAACTTTTTATCTGTCTTGCTAGCGATGTTATGCATGAAATAACGTTGAAAAGATTGTGATCTGGACAAGAAAAACTGGTCTCTCAATATATATGGTTTATTTTACACTTCTCATCCCAAAATTATAAGAATAGTTTATGTCGAAGACTTTTATTTTGAATCGAAAGAAGTAATATACAATGAAGTTCACAGTTGTCGTAATTTTTTGTTAAAAAACATTCCAGGAAATGCAAAACTTGACTTATGAAAATATAAAAATTACCCATCAGACTTGTACGAATGAATAAATCATCATTCGTTTTTAATAATCTTAATTAGTATCGTTAGATTAAAAATGATATATATTCCTTCCGGCTTCGGGTCTTATGTGCCACTTTTGTGTGATACTCGGTGTGACACTAGTTAAATGAATGACACGTGTCCTTATTATTGATGCTAACACCCTAACTAAATGGAAAGTGAATCCGTTTGGTTAAGTAATTAACCACATGTGAATCATTTAAATAGTGTCACACAAAGTGTAACACAAAAGTGTCACAGAAGATCTTTTGTCATTCCTTCCTCACAAGGAAGGAAAAGAATGCATTTGTATCGTTTTAATTTCAAAAAGAAAATATTTCTGAAACTCGGAAAGAGTACACATGAATATATCCTGAAATCTTCAATTAACTCTCTTTCGAAAACAATATTGGGTTGTTTCCACGAATCAAGCGATTATTAACAATCCCTTTTCTATGCTTACATATGAGGGTTGGAACTTGGAAGATATAACTAGAGGAGTTAAAAAGGAGAAGGTAAAAGAAGTGTGTTTCTAGAAACAAAATAGTCCAAAAGTATATTGCGTTTTACATTACAAGAATCCTAGAAATATCTTCGTATATGATAGGGAAATTCAATGCATCAAGTTGCTTGCAACAGCAAAAGCTAGGTAATTTTCTAAAAAAAAATTTGGCAGGAAAGGCCTTCAAATGAACAAGAAGTAGTCACTCTACGCTTCGATCTCCAGCTAAATTTGACTGTAAACTTTGGGTCTATTTCAATTAGTTAACTGGATTATGTAAGCAATGCATAAAATTCTAACAAGAAACGTTACTCATGCAATCCCTCAAAAGGTATCTTTTTCTTTCCCAAAAGGAGGAGAGGGAAAGGCAAGGAAAAGAGATGGAGTAATTTTAATATATTTTCACCACACATTGTGGTCTAGATTGCTTGCTAATTGCAATGCAAGATTATGAAATTCTGATCCTTCTGAAAAGTTGAAAAACTTTTTGCCTTTTTGCTTTTCAAAGCGGGGGAAAACAGCATGATTTTTGGTTGATTTAGTGATTATGGAACAATATAATATGAAGCCTTTTTTCCTAAGTTTCAACTATTAGATCGCAAAATCCAAAGAACCAACGTTGTCATAACGTAGTGTAAGTATTAATAAATTATGTTGGGCTGGCGGTGGTGATTTGAAAAAGTTTAGTAATTGATCTTGTGAATTTGTAGAGGATAAATGAACTTTTGGAAAGTTCAAATTGCAAAAGAGAAACTAAAATTTGGCAAAGAGAACTTATTGTTGATGTTGGATACTTGGATTAAAGGGTTACATGCCTATACAATGGTTTTATTGCATTTTAGCCATTTTCCATGTCTAAATCGTAACACTTTATAAATTAGAACACAACGAAATAGATTAGCTGTTGTTGTGGATGGCGTTTAGAATTTATGGTTTAGAGTTTAAGGTTGCGAAATATACTAAGAAACACATTTGAATACATTTGTAAGAAAAATAAATTTTTTCCCCCTCCATTAAGCCCTCCAAATACCGTAAATAAACTCTCCTGGCTATTTGGTCCCGTAAAACAAAGTTTGAATCAACCATTTTGAGGGGAAGGGAGATGAAATTTAGTTTGGACGCCAAAATGAATTATGTATTATATATCAGTGATTATTACATTTCTTAAAGTAGAGGGAATGTGGTTCTTCGCTTAAAAAAAAAAAGAAAAAAGTAGAGGGAACGAAGATTAGGAAAATATAATGTAAATTATAAATGAAAGATAGTGGTTGATATGACAAATATAAAAATACATAATTTTGCATTACCACACTGTCAATTATAACAAATGAGATTCGATATTACATTTGCAGGTTCAGAATTTATTAACTCATTTCAGTATATATTTTTATTGACTCGATTATGTTATCATTAAGTGTATTGGTTTTCTGGGGACTCTGGCCTATTTTTGGAGAAAATTCTTAGTAACAACATGCAACCGAAAAGCTTTTACTTGCATATGACAAGATTGATGAGTATACATAGAATATAGATGAATCAGTGATATAATAATTGTCAATTTGTCATTAAAAATTACTATTTCCAACCAAAAAAAAAAGTTTGTTTCAAAATTTGTATTATCTCTGTCTCAAAGAAATAATCCGCATTGAGTTTTGAGTTTTGTACTAGTTTTAGTACAAGTTTAAAAACTCAATATGGACTAACTTTTTCAGGAAGGAAGAAGTATTATTTTTAATATAAATCTCAAAATTTAATATGAATTATTAGTTGAGATAGAGAGAGTATCATTTGATAACTATGGTTCATAAAAAATCAAATTATTATATACGTAACTATCAAATAATTTTATATTTTTTCCCTTTCCTCGAGAAGCAAAACTAAATAATTATAAGCTAGCTATATATATAGGTAAGATTAAGACAGGCATTAAGACACTGTAAACTTTTCAACTCAACCCCATCCTCTGAAGAAGAAAAATCATCAACTATTTGATTGACATGATTATCTTCTAATAAACTCATCACCAAAGTCTCTAATTTCGCATTATTATTCTTAATCTTTGTTTTCTTTTTCCATTCCTTTTGCTTTATCCACCTCATGATGGCTACAATAAACAAATCGCAACCTACGAATTTTTTTATTTATTTTAGAAAGAATATATTAAACCCAAAACTAAAATAAAAATCAACAAATTAATGGTAAAGGAATTTCCCTCCCTAAAAAAAGCCTCGTGATCGAGTCTATGTATATATTGGGATCTAAAAACTCTAACTGGATCAAATGAAGATTAATATGAATGCAGAATATGCCCGTGTATATATGACACATCTATTTATTATGTATAAAGAAAAAAAAAATCTAAAACTGAAAATTAACTAAAAAGAAGCCAACAACTAAAAGACCACCCTTGTGCATATAAAAAATTCGATACCTTTTGAAGAGAAGGAGGACCCATTGATTGACCTTGGTTCCCTAGCTAGTTTTTAATATTTTGTTATGGTTAATATTAAACTAAAAAAGAACAAGGAGGTCCAGAATCGCACTTAGGGTGGAAATTTACAAACAGAAAACTATCAAAATTTCAAAAAGTGATTCTTATAGCTTTGAGAGGAGATATTAATAAATATTTATAACTAGTATTATCTTAATACACAAAATATGCAAATGGACTCGGATCTTTGGGTTGAAGAAAACATGTTTCTCCTTGTCTTTTCTCTCAAGGTTAGAATCTCTTGTTTAAGCTTTTTGGTTCTCTTTCCATTGACACTGCATTTTCATGCATCATCAAAGAAGACCAAAGCTTTTGTTAAAGAAGACTTTTAGGGTTTTAAATATTTGGAGCTGGTGAAGTGTTTTCTTGATAAGAAGATAAGTATTAAGAATTATTGGTCACTAATTGGGGCTAACTGGCTAAGTACCAAATAATAATACTAATGTTTAGTAGAATGATTGGTGCTTTGCTTTTATTTGATTGACTTCAGAATAAAAAGCCAACTTACTAAACTGAACTCTACGCTTCTTCATCTCTATAGTCAGAAAACTGCATCTTCCTGAAGTCATCATAATATCCGTACAATACACTCATTTTGAGAATACGTTGTACGTTATGGAGAGGTTCAATGGAGCGATCAATAACACTGCTTTGGTTGGAATGGGTTGCCAAGGTTTAGCATGTGTTTTGTGATATTAATTCCGTAATGTTTTTCATAATACTCCCTCCGGTCTTTATTATAAGGCATTTTAATTTTGCCCATGTTTCATCTAAGATATCTTTTTAATTGGAATAAAAACTTTAAAAATATTTTCTAATAATTAAGAGAACACAAAAAATGTAAAAATATATTTTTAAAATTTTTTTCCCAATTAAAGAGATATCTTAAATGCAACCTAAGACAAAATAAAATGCCTTATAATAAGGACCGGACGGAGTACTAATTTTGTAGTAATTAATTGACTTGCAACTTTACTTTAGCGGCTTAGATACAATAATGGGCTACATCTATACTTATATGATCTGCTATTTAGTTGTAAAAAAATTTTTTTACTAAAATAAAATGTATTTCGGATTTCCTATTTACCGTGTCTTAATTTAGTGTCTTTGTTTGTTTTTTTTTTGTTTTTTTTCTTTTTTGGGATACTTTGTGATTGTTGTTACGAAGAAATACATTTATATATAGTTCGGACCAAAATATTGAAATCTTAAAATACCTTACTTTTGAAAAAATATGGGAGAAAAAGGAGACACAAAAGGAAGGGGGAAGTAGAGATATCAGCCACTTGCTTGTATGTACATGACAATATAAAGAGCATTGATTTGATTGTTGTATTTCAATTATTTTGTTTGTGCTAGATTTTTTTTTTTTTCCCATTCAATAAAAGCAGACTGTAAGTTTAATTTCATCTCCATATGTAAGCACAACACTAAATATCGAATATATTCTGTTTCCAAATTATTTTCAAGCTTATTGAATTAAAATACTATAACAAAATGAAGAATCGTTTTAGACTAAAATTTTTTTGGTCACAGATAAAAGATTCATTTTTATTTGTTTTTTCATACCTCGATTATCTCAGTAATGCGTTTTGTATCGCATGGCGAAATAATAAAGGACATAGATAAGGTGTAAAAAAAAGTAAAAATAAAAAATAAAAAAAAAATTCCAACAATATATCTTTATGTCAATCACACTTCCATTAGGGAGGGAAAGTCGTTTAAACTACTAGACCACATATCGAGCAATATCCTTTCAAACATCTACACATGGATCGAGTCTCGTTTAAAGGTTTTCTATAAAATGTTCTTCGAAAATGGAAGACATGTAATGAGATTGATAATGTCACGAGATCAAATTGAAATGTTTACATCTCTAATTCGACAATCCTAGCAATATGGTATGATCCTCACTCCTAAGAGACAAATGCCTCAACGAATCCAAAACCACAAGCCATCCGCCATTCTTCGTAATGGCTTCGTAGACAAGTCCAAGCCATATAATTTTTCATTTAATATAGAAGTCGAAAGACTCATATTTTGAAATACATAGAGCACTGTGATTGAAATACCGGATATACATATAAAAACAGGTTTTTTTTTTTTTTTTGGGTATATGAACTCACCATATTTCATGAGAATGCTATGTAAACATACTTTGTTACACATACAATATTGTACAATAATGACGACTTAGGGTAGCACAATCTAACATTTTTTATTACTACCTCCGTCCCAAAAAAAATAGTCTACATTAAATTTTTAAATTTGTATTAAAAACAGAATAAAACTCAAAATTAAATGTGGACTATTTTTGTGGGACGGAGGGAGTATTATTTTCTTTTTCTAAGTGACGGCCTCAGAGGGGTTGACAAATGTGCCAAACAGAAGACTCGCGAAGACAAAAAATAATTAGTCTTCTTGGATCACTAATCTAATCATCCATTAATATTCCGTGAGTATGACTCTAACGAATTTCTAAACATTTCTGAAGAATTTTGTGGCCGACTTTTAATAATTAAGAAAACAACGTTGCCATGTTCATGCACTTTTTTTTTTTTTTACGAAAATAAATAGCAGAAGACGCTACAAACGGACGCAGTAGCTGAGCTCTATCTCTATATCGCAGTCCTAATCCCTCTCTCCTACTACTTAATTATTACTACAAGTTTTCTTACTATTGTCAACTCAATCCTTCAACAAATCCATCGCTTTTTGGCATCCAAGAATTGACTTCTGCCCCGTCTCTCTTAAATACAATTTGTATTGTTTGTTATGCTTCCATCCCAATGTGGATTATTTTTGTTTAGACAGAGAAAATATTGTTTTAACGTTTCCTCTATCTCAAAAAAATAATCCACATTGAGTTTTAAAATTTATATACAGAGTTAGTATAATAAACAAAATAATCATTTGTGAAAGTAGAGTATTTAATTTCTTATGTTGTCAAACTTGGTTTTCCATTCTCATCATTCTAGTTTACTCGCTGAATTATTTTTAGTGTTGACTTCACACACACACACACATGGAAAAAACTAGATTTTGAATCAATTTACAAACGATATTCTTGATTAAATGATCAACAAGCTAGGTAACTTCATTTGTCAATTTGTTTTTAATTGCACAATATGTATCTTTAAAAAATGTTAAGTATAAATTTATTTCTTATACTAATATGAGTCGGAGACTAGGAGAGGCAAGTTGTGAAATTATAAATCCATTTTGTACAATTTTGTCTAGGTTAGTAGGTTCTTCTTTAGTTCCTCTTCCTCCTATACTGGCTAGACACAAGTTGGGGGGCCGAATCTTTGTCCTTCAAATTCAATCACTATTTTGCTTAGGCTGCCGCGGTTTCCTAATTAATTACGCCACCATCCTGAGATCACAGTGATCTAGAACACGAAGAAATGAACATCTTTCGTAGAGAATAATTAATAGTAAACTTGAAATCAATCTAAAACATTAAGATTATTACATTGTGTGTATTTTTGTGAAGAGGGCACGTCGCAACATTGACTTAACAATTGAAGAAGGAAAAAAGAAGAAAAAAAATTAGGACAACCCGCGTATTAGGTGATAATAAGGGATGGATTCTAAGTCTTCTAGACACAGACAAAGGTTATTAACATGATGGCATCATCAGAATTGACCTCTCTTTTCATTGAGGTTAATCTTGGTGGTTGCTTCAATAATTGGGTACCAGTCCCCCCAAAGTCCACCCAGCTTGATCGATCAAACCCCAGACGACATAGTACCGGACAATTGGGTCAAACCAGATATTTCTCAACGCCACTTAAACACCCCCAGCACGAAAATGCATGCATGCTCTGCTTGGGTCTTAAAATAAGAGTCTTATACGTTAAACTAAAAGCAGTGGCGGAGCTAAGGGCGGAAGGAAGGGTGCGGTTGCATCTGCTCAATTTTTCGTAATTAGTAGAGGTATTTTAAATTTTTAATACCAAACTATGTATTGCATAATTTTTTACACCCCGAAATCAATTTTCTGACTATTAGAATTTTTTTTTTCTAAATTTTACACTCCTATATTGATTTTCTAGCTCAACCACTGACTAAAGTATACCATCAAACATTAAGGACGGAAAAATGATAATTAAGGTGGTAAAGGGAGTGGGTCTCATGGTCAATACAAAAGGATTTTGTTCTGTCCGGCTTCAAAGTAAACTTACTATTATGTAACCTACCCATTTCAACTCCACTTGATTCTGGGCAGTTCGTATCATTAAAGAGAGACGGGACCTCATACAGAAAGTAAGAATGTACTTTTTTGAAGCTAATACTATTACCACGGAACTAGATTTAATTGGAGGAATGATTTTCAGCTAGACTTCCAACCACTTATGTCTCAAATGAGTGCATGAAACATAACAATTGAAATGTCCATCAGAGCTGAGCTTGTTAAACACTATGGTTAGTGTTGTATTTCCTACAAGCTAAGCTACATAATGAACAGAACAGCTTGGACTGCCGAATGCGACCTGAAAAGCCCATGTACCATCTGTGTCACTTCGTATTTACTCTTCTTCCGTCCCAAAATAAGTTCTGTGGTTTCAATTATATATCAAACATAATGACAATATATTCTAAATACTAAAAAGAAAGGAAGCATTTTCCAAAATTTTCACAAGATACAAATACATCACAGAGAATGCTAGATAAGGCCATCACACCCACTATTCGATTTTGGTTACTCACTAAATGACCCTGTTGTGTAACTTCTATGATATTAGCAAGTTACAGAGTCCATGGCCACAATTACAAGGAACTAAAAACACAGATTTGAGATGGCGAAACATTCCCGTATTAGCACTAGTCTAAAAGCTGGACAATTTTGCAGCCGCGTACTCAGCAAGTACAAGAATTGGAGTTTCAAGATACACTGTAGTGATTCCTATCTGGAAAATTGGATTCATATAATAAAAATGAACATAAATGTATCCATCTCGAAACAAACTTATAAAATCGAACTGTCAGCCTTATCTACCAAAAGAAACTACATTATGTACAACAGCAACACAATTCAACCTCAACGCAGGAGATTTAAAAAAGGCATCCTTATGGGTACGAAGCGTGTCGCTATTCTTTAGAACACTATATTTGACAGCCTGCACACCAACACATAATCCAAAATACAGTTAACAAAACAGAAACTTAATCTAAAATGAGTCAGAAACCCCATGAACAGATGTGAGAACTTACTGTCTGATGATGGTATCAGGTATATCGTCAGACTTTATTGAAGTATACCCTAGCAATGTGATCAGTTAGCATTTCATTTCAGTGCAAAGAATGGGAAGGGAATGATTTCACATTATTAAATAAATTAGCCAATCAAAGAGGTGCTCTTTGGTTCTACTTACTATAGTTTTGCAAAAAGTAAAACATTGCTCGAACAAGTGATTGGTTACTGCATTGTCATTGAAAAGATTATTTCAAATTCATTGCCGCAGCCATGCTTCTTAACTTCTGAGAAATTTCGGAAAATGATGGCCTCTCTTTTGGATCAGCGGTCCAGCAACTTTCCATTAACAACTTCCATTCCGGATCACACCATGTGGGTATCTGTGGGCGCAATGTGTTGTTTACAATCCCTCCTACACGAGATAAAGATGCAGTTATAGAAGAGTCGAAAGAAAAATTAGTTGTACAGCAAACTCTGCACTTGCAACATTGGTAAGGGAGGAACCAAAAAATTAAAGAAGGAAAAGAAGATAACATTTTTTACATGGTTTCAACTCTAAACCTCCAATATACCCAAGCACCAAATTAGAATTGGAACTGAAATCAGTCTACATATGTTACCAATTATAGAAGCACAGTGCCGATCTTTATATGGCTCGTCACCAGTTAACAACTCCCACATAACAATGCCATATGAATAAACATCAATCTGCAAAAGAAGAAAAAAATAAACATTGTCGAAAGGCACAATCACATAAGCCATCAACTTTCAGTTATCATGTCAAACATATTTAACCTTTTCAGACACCATGTTGCTTTTTCCACTCAAGAGCTCAGGTGCCATCCAGGGCAACGTGCCTCGGACACCTCCTGATACTAAGGTGTGCTGTTTTACTTTTGATAAGCCAAGATCACCAATCTACAAGGAAAACAGCCAGCAACAAAAGAAGATTAAACGCCAGCCATATTGAAAATACTTGAACCAAACTCATATACAGGACCCCCGGTAGCATACAAATGTCATCAAATGCAAGACCTGGTCTTACAGGGCCAAATTCCAGTTTTCTAGTCTACAAAGTTTGTGATACCTTGCAAACTGGCCGATGAGGGTCCCTCATATTAACCAACAAATTTTCACATTTGAGATCAAAATGCACGATATTTTTTCCATGCAAATACTCCATCCCAAATGCAGTGTCCATAGCTATCATGAGTCTCTTCCGGCGATCAATTGTTCTGTTGCATCATAGTATAACACTCAAATTAGTAAATTAACTTGGTAAGAAACAACTGCTCATCATCACAAAGGAGCAACATCTCCACAGAAAATAGCAAAAAATAGGGGAGAAAACCATCACATAAAGGATACCTGTCTTTTTTCTGTAGAAACTGTTTCAATGATCCATTGACCATGAACTCAGTCACAGTAGCCAAAGATCCATCTGGTCCATCACGGACAACACCGTAGAATGACACGACATTCGGATGGTGTAATGAACTTAATATCAGAGCTTCTTTCCAGAAATCTGAAATCTAGATTGCAACAGGAAAATCAAGCAATCAAATTCATTACAAAAGTGAACTGAAGACACTCAGATTCAGGAAGTGGATAGGAAGTAGGATGGAAGTAATTAAGAGTACCAGACGTGAGATGATGGTTGCATAGCATGATTAAGTACAAGTACCAAACAAAATCAATCAGATCCAGAAATTCGATTTAAAGCAGCAGCAAAACAAGTACCAAGCAAAATAATCAGATACAGAAGTACGATTAAAAGCAGTACAAATTGACAAGTCTAGATATGATCTGTAGTTGGTTTGCTAACTGAAATAAACAAAGAACAACCATAAAACGGAGAGAGACAAACAGGATTTAAGAAGAAGCACAACTATTTATCTCTGTTGTTTGCCCCATTTAAGTTCACAAAAGTTATTAACATGAAATATCAGCCAGTAAGGTCACTCATATTGATGCAGCAAAAAAAACAAAAAAAAAAAGGGGGAAAAAAAAAACAACGAACGTAAAAAAAGCTACCAAAAGGTCAATTATTAGAAATAACATCTCAACTACTATCCCTGGAAACATGAAAATATTTCGGTCAGTCAAGGTATCAAAGCACATGTTTGCTTCTAACTCTCCAACATTCTCAATCAGGGAAAAAAAAGTCAAAGCAAGTAAGCAAAAACTACGTAAATATGGAACGGGTAACCAAAAAACACTCAGGATAGACTGGAAAATGGACATATGCAAATGAACCCTGATCATGTCAACCACTCCCTAACTAGTAAGCTCGAGAATACTAATATGCTAATTACATCAACATTAGGACATATTTACAATATTAAATCAACATTTCTAGCCACGTACGTTATTTGAATGCAAACATAAACTTCATCATAATAAATACATGCTTAAGCTGAATGGAATCCCAAAAGAAGGAATGAAACAGCTTTATGCAAGCATCGTACACCCAATCACTGTGCCTATGCAAATACAATACACATTTTTTCAAAACCAAAAAGACGTACACAATTGTCATGGGAGCAGATGCTGATGCAATAATCAATAACATGAAATTTTTACCCCTATATGTTTTTTTAAGAAAATAATTTTTTTTAAAATAAAAAGGTCTAAAAGCGCAAAACTTAAAGCAGCAAAGATTCAATGAAACAAAAATAAACTTTTTTCCTAATTCTACGAAATGAAACGTTCTGTTTAGCAGCGTTCAAAAAGTCCAACCATCTGCACCATGCAAAAGATAACAAATGTACAGATTGAAGATAGGCAACGAAGTGTACTGTTTTCTCTAGTACACATGAGAATAGCTATGGTAGGAGAATGATAGATCTAAGAACAATAACAGGTCTAAAAGGAGAACACTTGCCATCCAAATACATCCACCTTAGGGAAAGAAATACTAATGCTAAGTGTGAGAGGAATTATACCAAGCGTTCTCTTTCAGATGGTCTTCCAGCAAAGCAGCTAGCCTTGATCCTCTTTATTGCAACATCAGATCCTTTCCACTTCCCATGGAAAACAGCACCATATGTTCCTGATCCTAATTCGCGGATCTCCTCAAGGTCTTCATTTTTTATGGTCTAAGATGAAAGCCACAAGAAACAGACAGTCAAACCAAGAATACATCTATTTCAAGATCATAATAAAGATCATATTATGATCTAGAAACCATGAACAAACTATTCTTCAGAAAGTGGCCGAGGCCTTATTGGCATGGAATTGATAGATGATTTAAGCAAATAATCCCAACTAGAAGAAACACCAAAACCAAAGAACAACAAACAAAAGCAAGTTTATCAAAGACCAAAAATAGCAATGAACACGATGAAAATCACTTCCTCGTATACCTGCAGTCCCCGATTAATAGCTTCCTCCTCAGCCTTTGTTAGCTCGATTCGGGAATTGTTTGAACTTTCACTATCAGAATCTACCTCCAAGTCTCCATGTGTATCCTGAAACATATGGAGAAGATTATTTGCTTGGCAACAAAGACATACTGCAACTAAAATATGCAAGTGACTCACCACTGCATCTGTTTCATTTCGATGTTCCTGTTTTACAAAAGCATCAGGCTCAACAAAAGGATCGACAGCCCCCTCAACTTTAGATTTCACCTCCTCAACACAATCTAGAGTAGCCTTCTTTGCTGCTGCAATCAGTTCAGGTAAGCAGCTCAGACGGTCATCAGGCTGTTCTTCTGTTTCTAGAGCACAAGTGTCAATTACTTCTGGTTTTACAGTCCCAACATCAGTTTCAGTATCTGCCATAGGATTTGTATTAATTAGTTCTGGAGGCTTCAAATTTTCAGAGTCTTTATTTCCATCATAGTCGTTGATATTTCCTAAACCTTCAACTTCCCCAATCTGACCTTCCACACCATCCCCTCCTTGAACAGTATTATCCATTCTACTTTGTTCAGCAGCAGCAGTGTCATATCTGGCTTCTACAACAGGAGCAGCCGAAAAGACCAACTTATCATCTATTGCTGGTGCTGAATCAGACCTGATAAAATGATCTACTTGAGTAGGAATCTTAAGCATATCAGGAACAGATCTCACTTCAGCTTTGTACAGAAGTTGGTTCTCCTGACTGAAAGCAGAAGGCACAAATTTCAGCACTTGACCATTACCATAGTCAGGCACATGTGATCCCTCCAAAGCCACTATTTTCTGTGAGGACTCAACCCAAGGGTTGGGGTTGTCTATTCCAGAACGCAAACTAGGACTGGCTTCCATTCTGATAAATCCAGGACCAACTAAACCACTTGCCAACTGAGGCGAACTTGATACTTCATGAGAAGCGACCGTGTGCAGAGGGCCATGTACATTTCTCCATGAAGCATGTGCTTGTGTGTGTCCATGTGTAACTGGATAAACACTATCATGGCCATAGGCGTAAGATGGATTCCCATACCGAACTCGTTCATCTATAGGTTGACCATGCATATGAGATCCAGTAGAGACTGTAGAATGATGAAACATTTGGCCCATCTCCGGACCAGATCGGGCATAGCGAGGGTCATCAGGATGGACATAATGAGGTGGAATGTAAAGAGGATCAGAGACATTTACATGCCCATGCGCGATACTCATGTTGTTATCAACAATATGGTGATCAGGCAGCCTTCCAACTAGAGAAGCGTGCGACCTTACTTCCTCAGGCCTTAGAGTTGTCTGGTGAGGTACAACCCGTCCCCTTTCATGACTCTGATTTTCGGTATAGATGGGTCGAGGATCTTGTTCCCTTTGATAGTATGGATGGTGCAAGTTTGCATCTGGGTTGAGCATGAGAATTTCTCTATTTGGAGGGCACTCAGCACAGGCAGTAGCAACATGATGAAGCCCATTCCCAACATTTGGTGGCTCTAAATGATGATGTTCTCCTGGCTTCCAGTGTGCATCGGCAAAAACTTGATTCCTCTGGAAATTAACACGGCAATGTTCACAAACACTGTTTCCCTCAAGAACATTGACACCATGAAGTATATTTCCAGGGAAACCAGCCTTTTCACTGGGAAAAACTGCTAAATTGTCCGAAAATTGATGCTGGTGTTCATAGTGGGGATGGTGATTCATTTGAGTCTCAGGCCTATCAAAGCTTCTATCAGAAAACTCAGCATACTGGGCTCTATAGCGACCAGATGAAGGTGAAGTTGGAAAATCAGGCACCTGTCTTGGCTCAAGGTACCCAGGCTGCCGAGGAGAATAGTAAGCAGGACTCCAGGGAGCCTCCATCTCATTATATCGTTGCTGAGGCTGTCCTGAAAGTAATGTGGGAATGTTAAGTTGACGCAGATTATGAGGCATAGCCATCTCAGTATTTCTCTGGTTTTGCAAACCACCATCAAGGTTCATCTGACTAAAGAACTGCTCTGCAAGGGCAGCATGGCCATCATCCAAGGGGGCAACAAACTGGGAGTCATTAAGCTGATTCCTTCTATAATCAGGGGATTCATTAAGACTGTTCAAAGCATCTACATACCTCCTCTCATTGTCTCTCTCATCACCATCAATAAAATGTATAGACCCGTCTTGGTCACTCGGTGAAAACAGAAATATCCTCAGCCTAGTGAACCCGTCACCTGCACCCAACTTGTCATACTCCTCCATCATATTAGTCACATCGTCATCATTTACTACAGAGACGAGGGCATCCAGATCTTCGTCCGGTTGCTGATATTTTAAAACTGTTGCTCCTTCATAGAGCTCCTTCATCTTGACCATAAGCTCATCATAGGTAATATCCCGCGGAACACTTACGATTCTTGTTTCACCCCCCACATATCTAAGCTTACCATCATGCGGCCGTGGCAAAATACTACCCGAAAAGCTACACAAGAACTTAACACGTGGGTTCTCGTCGCAGGAATTCTGGCCGGAGCAAGGAGCCACAGTCGGGCTATCCATCAAGAGCTCAACTTGATGCTGCTGCTGCAGCAGCTGTTCTTCTTGATTGATGTGACACTCAGATTCAGGTTCTGATTCACTCAAGGTTTCAATCCCCTTATTACACATGTATTGCGTCTTTTTTTTTTCACCCAAAGCTCAGGGTATAATCATATCAGTATCATTTGCTCGATTCCACAAACAAAAAATTCGGAAAGCTTCCAGCACTAAGAAGATCCAAAATTTCCCCAGAAGCAGAACTTTTTCCGTTATAAAACATCAGAAATGAATATCACTAGCTTCCCCCCCTCCCACAAAAGTGGAATCCAGGTCCAATTAAAATCAACTGGCTACCGTAACATTAAAGCTCAACTACGCTGAAACTGATCCAGGGCAACCCTATTCATCAACAAAAGATTAAATTTAACGCCAATATCAATCCAACGCTCGCACAAACAAATCGATAGAAAGAAAGAAAAAAAAATTCACGAATCATCCATACCTTACAATGGGTTTTTCCCGATGCCACCGACGGAAAGCCTTTTAAAATATCCTCTTCGAAAATGAAAAAAACCCAATTCAGAAAATCCCCTTTTCTCAATCAATCTCGCCTCTTCCAACACTTCCACCAAGCGTTAACGGATTTAATTCAATAATTTTAAAAAAAAAATTAGGACGAAAGAGAATGGGAAAAAATTCAGAAAAAAAAACACACACACACACACATGCACGTGATTTAGATACTTCTAGAGAGTAACTGTGTGAGAGAGAGGGAAGAGAGAGGAAGCTACAGTTATGGAGGAGAAGAAAAGCGTCATTAGGGAAGAGAAACGGGGCGGGTGGTGGATCGGAGGTGGCAGCCAAAACGGGCATAGTATTGATGAAGAAGATGCTGGCTTGTGGCCTGTGGGGCCCGGGGTTGCCAGGTAAGGAGGACACGTGGCGGGACTCCGGTTCTCGCAATTTTTCGGAATCTATTTTATCTCAACTCATGGCATATTCCGGGGTTTCTTTTCTGATACCCGCTACGGAAGCGCGTGGATACAACGCACATTTGGAGCCGCCAATTTAAATCAGCTTTAAGAAACAGACAAAAAAAAAATTTCTGCAAAACACATATTTACGTTTTTCTGTTTTTTTTCTTTTTCCTTTTTTCTTCTAGCCTTTGGTGTCATTTGTCCAAGGCTTCAAGCTAAGAAAAAGAGCCAGGTTGATTTTCAACTACATACTCATGCTGTATTTGTTTTGTTGTCATTTAAGAGAAAGTTGTAGATGCGTCATATTTGTTGTTGTTACTCATTGTTATCCTTTTTTACATTCTCGTTTAAGTTGGAAAATGGAAAATTGTTCCTTTCTCATATTCGATTTATAAGGTATATGTATGAATCGAATCGTGCTCTGATAAATAAAGCGTTGTATATTTAACCGCGAATTTAAAAATTTGATTTTTATTGCGGATGCGAAAGTAGCCAACTATGAAAAATAGATAGTTGACGGAAGAGGCATGTAGTTGCTTGTCAATTAGGTAGGACCTGCTAACTAAGGAAGACCGGACGCGAAACGAAGCCCTAATAGTAGTTATTTCTTTCCCCAATAAACTCTACCCCGATTGTACTCCCTAAGCACCAATAGGTGTCAGGATCTAAAAGAAGATTTATAGGGGAAAATATGGACTCTTTCTTCTATAGATGAAAAATCCACCATATATACTGACACTTCATTATTAAAAGTTCTACTCGGCAAACTGTGACTACATTATTATAATCTTCTTTCACAGACAAAGGGGTATGATTTTAAATTTGGAGGCTTCACTTTATTTGTAATGGACTATTGGACTTCCCTGATATATTCAAAAATGGATGACCCACTAGGTTTTCCCTCATAAAAATGGGAAAAGGGGGATGGGGATTGCAACCATGCTTTGACATAATAATAGATGGCATTCAAGAATGCATTTTGTTCAAGACGTTCAAAATCTGCAGCAAGATTGAATGAAGATAAATGGATACTTTTCTCTCGGAAGGATTGTTTAGTTTGGATTTTTATTGTACCAAAGATGAGTATAATGAAAATCCATATTGAATAATCATTTTTGGGGACGTAGGAATAGTCCTGATTTGCATTACTTTACCTGCGATGCATTCGAGTACGGTACCCTTCGGTTTGCCTTTTGAAGAAAAGAAGACAGTACTTCAAGAATGAGAATTGAGGACTTGGAAAACTTGGAAGAGAGCCTGATTCAACTGAACCACACTAGTCTTCTTTCAATCTCCACTGTTTTCAGTTTTACCGTCGCGAATCGACCGGTGGTGGTAGTTCTTACACCTACTACAGCAGATTCCGGAGTTCAGACTAAGAGATTTGCTGATGCCTGATGGCTGATGAACAGACACGGATAGTAGTAGCATAAATTTTGCTTCAACAGAAGGAAAAAGATATACACTTTACTGTGGCCAAAAAGGTTGAAGGAAAAGGCGAGGAATAGCAGTCAAAAAACATATACAAACTGAGAGGATTCAATTTACATGTCTTCCATCCAAGTAAAAGTTTGATTTTCCCAAATCCTTTTCGGATCCTTTCTTGTGATGGAAAGGGTAATTCCGACCTATGCTAAAGCCTGAGCCATGATTGAACGATGTGCTACTTGTTGTTCATAAAGTTCACGGAATATACGATATTTCGCATCATGATATTTCTTCACTTTAGGGTCTTGTGATGGGTAGACAACCTGCCAATATCAGATGCGTGTCAAGAAAAGAGATGAAAAGAGATTTTCACTTTTGGAAATTCGTTTTTGTTGCAAGTTTAATATTTTATTAATCAGCTTTCAACCATCAGTAATTCATGGAATGCGTGTTCGAAATGTATCTATGCTACAGTTATCAGCATCTTATATGAGACTCGCACTTGCCCTGGCACTAGTCTTTACCAAATAGCAACTCTCTTAAAGTCAATAGAACTGTTTCTCATTTCAAGTTAAACAAATCTTCTTCCCAAGGAAAATGAAATATGCATTAGTGGGCTACTGACTTGAGTTTATCAACAAGTGAAAATAGATTTACATACCTCCCCAGCAGCATTGAGTGCCATCATGGCTTCCCGTACGGTAGAGTATTTCTTAGAAGCAACAGCTCCTAGAATAGCAGCGCCCAAGAGCACAGATTCATTTTCCCTTGGCAGAATGATAGGATAACCTATTTGGATAAGATAAGAAAATAACAAAGAGTATATCAACCAGCCATTCACTTTTCTTGCAAAAGTCCGGGAATGAAATTCTGGTCTCAAAAGAAATCTGAGCACATCTATGAATTTAGTAAGTTTTCCATGAACCATTTTTCAGTTCAATTTTGGTCAACATTTCAAAACTAGAAGAAAACAATTCAGCATGTTTTTATTTTTTTCAATATGGATTTAAACTTCTTTCTTCCTTTCGAGAAATATTAAGCAGCAAGATGCAATACTGAGACATTTTAAAGCCTGTGAGAGTCTAAAAGTCAATGGGCAGCATGCAAAATCTAAGACAGAGAAAAGTTCTCTTCTTCCCCTTTATCCAGGATCTACCAAATATGCATGAACAAGAACAAAATTAGTTTATATCAACATGCCAAAAAAGAACTGAGAAATAAAGCACAAGAGGGAGAGAGAGAAAGAGAAAGAGACCAGTAATATCTGCATGCTCTTGAATGAAAAGGGGATTTTTTGTAAGTCCACCACAAGCGAGCAATGTGTCAATCTGGGAGCAGAAAGACATATAGGTATACATTAATGGCACTCATGTCTTAATTGAAAAGTGCATACACATTAATTAGCTACAGCCAAACACCATCCAAACAATACAAATACCACCGTGAAAAGTCACTCAACGTAATCTTCAGGTCCCTTCATTATCTTTTTAAAAATTTCACAGCATAAAAGAAACTTAAGTTTGAGTCAATGCCAAACAAAACTGTAATCATTCTGAAAAGCAAGATTAAGAAGCCAAAAAAATCCAAAAACAGTGGCGTCTCATCTAAGTGGACCTCTATGCATCTCTTCCATGGTACTGTGGGCCTTGTCTTTTCTTTCTGTTTCTTTTGGGGAAGGGTTGTGGAAAGAGGCTAAGGATATCGAATATTACATATAAAAGTTGGAAATATGCTGTATGATATTCATTCCATTCATCGGCTCTGGCTTCACTTAGGCCAAGAGAGATCACTAAAAGCAATATAAAATGAAAGCTCAGACTCTTAAGGAAATTCTGAATAACAGGCATTCACATTTCTTCTTCAGTAATAAATGCAATCTTACTCTGTGCCCATTGGCATTGCAGTGCTCTACGATGTGCCGGGTACCATACGCAATGCCTTGTACTGTGGCAAGGTACAGAACTGCAAGCTGTTTATCACTTGTGTCAAGAGTTAAGCCACATAACATCCCTTTAGATTTTGGGTCTGCGACAGGAGATCTGAACTAAAAGGTCAGTACATGTTTCCTAACAAATGGCAAATATGCTGCAATTTAAAATAATATTAATAGTAATAATAATAAAGTTTAATGGTTACCTGTTACCATGAAAGTCAGGAAGTACATGCATATCATTAGTTAAAGCAGCAAGAAATGGAGACCCCTGTTCTTGCCTCATTGTTTCCAATATCTCGTTTAACAGAGTGAAAATGGAGATCCCTACAAGGTACACTTGGCTGAGGAAAATCCACTCAAAACACACGGAATGACATGGCTCACAAATTCACTTACTTCGAGAAGCAGCAGTATTTGCTAGGTGAGGAGAAGCAACATGATTCTCAATTACATAATCAAGCAATGCTCCCGTGGCACTCTGACCACCCTCAGTTAGCCAGTATTCTGGCACCATAGCTGCAAACAAAATAGTAATGTTAAACTATTTGATATGCACCAAAGAATTTAACTTCCAAAAGAAATAAGTAGAAGCAAATAAATCACCATTTAAAACTCAAAACTTAAAATAACTTAAGTTGCAATTCTCAAAATAACCAAAATGCATAACAAGAAAGGGCTCTCGGCTTAATTGGCCTTAATGAAATACTTGATGATCAAACAGAGATAAAAATGACCAGGTTACATGTCTCGCATTCAAGAGGCTTAGACAAATTGGGTTCAAGCAACCATAAAATTGTATTTGTGCAAGTATTTTACAATTAAGAAGTATATTACAAATTTTAGTTTTCTACTTGTCAGCCTCGTGACAATTAGACAAATTCCACATTTTTGTTGTAGTCATTGAAGATTCATCAAGTGAAAAAGAATGGAACTCAGTTCCGCAAAATTATAGAACATTACCGTACCAGACCAAAATGGTCCCCAGACTCCAGGAATAAATAACTTGGAACGCGATACAGCCATATGGCAGGTGGAAGTTCCACACACTAACACCATGCGACGACATATAACTTCCTCATCATCTACAAACACAAACTGCAGTCAATCAGTTACCAGAAATTGAACAGGGATATTCACTCGCACTATTTACAAAATTTGAAAAAGAACCATTTGCGGTAGAATCTGAAGGAGGCTTGCTCTCCATGACTCCTACACCACCAGCATGAGCATCTATCAAGGAAGTACCAACTGGTGTACCAGCCAAAAGACCCAATTCCTGGACACAGGACATTGTTGTTAGCATCCTTATGTTAATCTAACAATGGAAAAGAAGCACTTGATATTTTGTAACCAAAACCTCTTGCCTTTGCTGAATCTGGAGTTAAACCTGATCCAAGCGCATGGCCAGGGAAAGCTACACTTCGCCCTGTATAGAAGAAACTGATTTTAGAGAGCAGCAAAAATTCTAGAGCACAAAAGATGATGTGCATTAACTCAGTAACTGAATGCTAGTTGACAACTTAACTTTGACATTTCGTTGAGGTACTAAGTTGAAGAGAGAACAAGGAAATATATAAGATGCCGTTCGCATAGAAAGAAAGTCAAAAGATCAAATAAGATCACAAAAATACAAAAGCAAGAAAACGTTCATAAAACTGATTCTTTCATTCTTGTCAACTTTTCTTGATGGATTCAACTTAAGAAGCAAACAAGTGTAGAAAAATAAAATTAAGAAGAAAAAAAAACCCAATCCATGCTCTCTTATTCTGACAACTATAATTGCACTTTTTTTATCCGAAAAATTCAAGTTAACTAACTTAATAGCTCATAAAAACCCAAAATAATTGGTTCCCACAATGGAAAAGAAATTGCTGGGCTCGATGATCACTAGCCATCCTTTGGAACTCTTTTTCTACTGACAATGATAATCACAAAGATGCCCTAAATCTGAAAGAAGTTAGGCTGCTGAAAAGGTGCTCTCTGCATGGAAAGCAATGCATTTTAGTTACTGTTCATCCAAGGAAACATGATAACTTTTTACTTATTCTCCTTCCAAAACGAAAAAAATGGAATCGTGGAATCAGGGAAGACTATAAATCTGGTAAAATTAAAACAGAAAAGAACACTCAGTCATGTACAGGAAATCACATCATATCAGGACACAGAACAACAATATTTCTGAATATTACATCATGAGGCACTTCAAAGAAAACTTCCAATCATACCTATCTTAGCATGATGGCCATCAACAAGATCACCCAACCCAATTTCCTCCCAAAAATCATCATCCCAGCCACAAGCTTCCATGCCGCGAGAATCTTTTTCAGAGGTTTGATGCATGTGTGCATGACCTAGGTATGTCCACTTGCATACTGTGGTGCACAAGCTTCGAGTATCATCTCCTGTAGCCCTAACAGAATAACGGTTGAATTTTAGAGAGCTCAAAAAAAAGAAGGGAAAAAGAAAATGAAGTGTAACGCATGATGACATAAGGTTCGTTACTTGTAGGAGAGCCAATCACTCAGGTCCATCCACCTAAATGCCATAGACCAAGACTCTTGTAGATTTTCTTTCACCCACAAAAGCTGCAAATAGTTCATGTCCACAGCATATACAATATGATGCGAAAGAGATAAAGAGTAGAACGTAAAGCGTGCTTGACCAGCCATATACAAGCTTAAATTTAGCGAACCAGGAATCTGTTTATCTTGGATTGCTATTTTTAAGGAACATGACAAAGTGTGTATAAGAGAAAAAAATCTTTACTCTGCAGTTGCGATATACCTTTGGTGGTTCCATCTCAGGGGAAACCGCACCGCCACAATACTGCAACACAGGAGAATTAGAGGAATTTATCCTTTCAGCCTGTTTTACTGCTCTATGGTCCATCCAGACAATGATATTCCTCCTAGCATCGCCACTCCAAGAAACTGATACAGGTTCTCCATCAGAATCGACCGCAACTGCATTTCGAGATTACTCCATTCAGCTTATACAACAAGAATGCCTTCATGGGAATTTAAAGCTGCGAAACTTCATGTGCTGAGTTTTTTTCATGTTATAGAAATAGTCAAAGGGAGCAAACCAAGGGAACAAGTAGCAGCAAATCCAAGACTCGTTACTTCTTCTCCACCAATATTTGCAAGGGAGCAAGCCGCTTTTACAGCAGTGCAGACTGCCAGCCATATATCAGTTGAAGATTGCTGGACCCAAACAGTTAGGAAAACACATCAAAACCAAACAATAAAGCTAAAGGTAAATACTACAATATTTGAATATTTTTTCTCCACCTGAACCAATTGAATCATCACACGCGTATGTGTGTGTGAGAGAGAGGGAGAGAGAGCAACAGTAACATTTTTTACACAATTAGATTACATGCTCAAACATATTGAAATCAACAAGTTCAAGACTTTAGTCGTACTAATAACTGGCACTTAATTTACCTCGATGCAATCACCTTCTTTCCAAATCTGAATAGGACTACTGGAACAGCCTAGGAGTTTTCCATGCTCATCAAAGAGACCTATGACAAAAGAGATTGATTGACTGTCACAAAATCTGAAGGCAAAGATAACTATTACACCATTTATAAGAACCCAAGACATTCATATCAATAATTCCAGCTTTCTGTGCACAACACCTCAAAAGTTAATTCTAACAAAAAATAAGTCTGTACAGTCATTTAGTGCATCCAATGGAGGAACATCAGTTCAATCAGATCGATGCCCAAAGAGATGGTCAACTTCAGGACGTATGGTACAATTTTAACCAAAAGGTTTGCTGATTCTAGTTGAGAAATTCAGTATACCGGTAACCTTATCCGTGAACTAATTAACTCAAACTATAAGAAACAACTAAGAAGTACAGATTCAAATACTGGTTCGACTACATTACAAATATCCCCAAGGCAAGATTTTAAACTTAATGACTACTAGAAATGGCAATATACTAAAAGTACTATTCAATCAACTACTATTGAAGCTAATATGTCTGAGACTAACAGACGAATGCAATGAGCTCATACGTAAAAAATGGAAAGGTTAAAGCAACCAACTCTCAAGAATAGAACACGGCGAAATTGCATGTCATCAAAATCCCATTTCAAGCCATAGTCACTGAACCCGTCCAACATCACAAAAACAGATGACAATAGCAGAACCCATCAAAACGTTCAATTAGAAGAAGTAAAGTAATCAATTGAACTCCAGCCTCCAACCATATACAGACACATAAACAATAAGAAACTCATAACACAGGCGAAAGAGACAACAGTAAGGGGCGGGAGAAAGGAAGGACTGAGAGAAGAACCTGCACGAGCGCTGCCGGTGCCAACGTCGACGCCGAGATAAATGGGACGGCGAGGCGGAGGAGGGGTCGTCATTTCAACCGCCGGATTGACGGAATTGGAAGAGTGCCGGTGATTGTGGTGGTGGTCGTCTTGACGAGGCTTTAAAAGGGGCGATTTTTCCGAACGATATGTTGATCTTCCTGAGCCAGACATGTTTTATAACCGTTTGTATTAGTTATACTTTTAGATTTTTTTGTTTCTGGATTATCTTTCCAAAACAAATTTCTGTTTCTGGGAAAAAATTTTGGGTGATGATTGTGTTAATCCATTTAGGATTTTGGATAATTATGAGCAGCATTTGACATGATCAAGAACTCTGCTTTATTTCTTTCTTGGTTTTGAGTTTTGATGGCGTTTTTCTGACCTTGTTGTCAATTTTGTGATCATCATTTCCATTTGTTGATTCGCCTAGGATACTAGTTCGCTAATTAAGGTTTGGTGTCTTGCTTTTGTCTGTGTTTGTTCTATTTTATAAGATGGAAATAAGAATAGACAACTAATCTCCAATTTTTTTTTAAATCCTCCCAACTCCAATGTTGTATATATACTGTAGTTGTTATGAAAAATGAAATAAGATGTTGTGTCGGGATAAAAAAAATTAAAGATACTACCAAATTTACTTTGTGACGGCCACACTTAAGATTTTTTTATAATAATAATAATAAACTAGATGCTTGTCCCGGGCAAATGCTCGGGGGCGTCCCACCTAATAAATCGATATGTAAATAATCAAAACTGATTAGGAATGAATTTAGTTTTTGATGAAGATAATTGATTGACCAGAAATTAATTTTTCGGAAATCCTAAATAAATGGAGAAGGAAAATTTCATACAATGTCAAATTCAAAATTTGAATGAACGTGACCATCTGATCTCTTCATTAATATTGTAAATATATTTTTTATTTTTAAAAGGAGGTGACACGTGGCAGAATGATTAATGCAATATGGTGCATTTGGAGCCAAAACATTTTAATAAGAAAATGCCACATCAGCATCCTGTTTTCTACTTTAATAGGGTAAAAAGGGATAAATAAACAGTAAAATGTCATGAGAGGTAGGACTTAGGATTGGAAATTATGGAAACTCTTGAGCTGATGCGATAGCTAATGGAAACGCTCAATGTAAATAGGGGTTTTTTTATGTCACCCCTAGTTTTATCTCAGTGTTGCTAAAGCATGATTATAGATGCTCAAATGTATGTAATAACTAAGGCAGTAGTCTCTGGGCATGTTTATTTACCCAAAAAAAAATTTATGGAAACTCAAAATACCATCCAATTTAGATTTTAAAAACAACAGTATTATTGTAAGTAGTTTGTCAGTTGCCTTACGACCAGAACAGTTCATAAAAAGCAGGAAATAACTAACAAGTAATAACGAATTTGGTGTTTTAATGACTGTTACAGTGATTTAAACCATCCCCACGGATGGCACAAATACAAATTGAAAATGTATTAACGTTGATTTGTCTTAAATTATTTTACTATTGATTGTTATTATTGTTTCATTCTTTTAAAATTTTCAAAAAAATAAAATAAACTTATCGTGCTAATTTCTTTTAGTTATTTTAAAGTTCTCAACCAAATTTAAATAAATAATCTAAACATGTCATTCTTTTTTATCTTCTGCAGAACCATACTTTCACTATAGTCAAATGAATTTAAATATTTCTGGAATGCATGCATATTTTGGAAGTTAGCCACCTTAAAGTTTTCAACAAAAAAGAAACTAAAAAATCTAAATATGTCATTCATTTTTATCTTCTGCATAAGTATACTATCACTATAGTCTAAATGAATTTTAAATATTTCTGAATGCATGCATATTTGAAAGTTAGCCATCTTAAAGTTCTCAACAAAAAATTAAATAAAAAATTTGAACATGTCATTCCTTTTTATCTTCTGCGGAAGCATAATTTGACTATAGTTCAAATGAATTTAAATATTTCTAAATGCATGCATATTTTGGAAGTTAGTCATCTTAAAGTTCCCAACCGAAAAAAACAAAAACAAAAAAAAAAAACTGAACGTACCATTCCTTTTTATCTCGATATGAATCGGTTTTGGTACCAATCATTTTAGTACTATAGTCAAAATTTATGGACAAGACATATATTTAAAAAATATTTTAAAAAATTATCTTTAATATTATCTTGTCTGAATCGTTCGATTGGATTTCTTTACTATATCAACCGTTTATTTGATTATCGTCTTATCTCATATCACATTAAAAATATATATAAAAACGTTCTTTCTAGTCCCATATGTGCATCAAAATTTCTTGTCCATCTTTCTTTTTCATAATATTTTTCTTTTATGAAAAAACAAATGGACTTCCTTCCAATATCTCATAAAACATTTTCATCATCATCATCTTCAAATGAAAATTTAATTCAAGAAGATGACATCATAAGCCACGTTATACAGAAAAATAACTTGGCAGTTACATTGCTCAACCATCGAAGCAACCAACATAATCAACGTGGATCTATTGCGGGACACATAGCTATCGACCGTAATCGTGAAGTTGCACATCATAGGCTGGTCGACGATTATTTCCCTGAGCATCCACGATACCCTCCATATAAATTTCGGCGGCGGTTTTGTATGTCTCGAGATTTATTTGTTCGTATTATTGATGCTGTTAAAACTCATGACAGTTATTTTGAACAACGAATCGATGCAACTGGCAAACTTGGATTATCAAGTCTATAGAAAACAACTATAGCTATCTGAACGTTAGCATACGGTTCATCCGCAGATGCTACAAATGAATACATTAAAATTGGAGAGTTAACTGCAATTGAATGCTATAAGATGTTTTGTCGTGCTATTGTCGACATTTTTGCATAGCAGTACCTTAGATGACCAACAGTTAATGACATTGCTATTTTACTTTATATTGGTGAACAATGTGTTTTCCTGGCATGTTAGCTAGTCTTGATTATGTACATTGGAGGTGGAAAATTGTCCAAGAGCTTAGGCATGACAATATGATGGACGTTTTGGATCACCAACCGTCATACTTGAAGTTATAGCCGATTATAGTCTATGGTTTTGGCATGCTTTTTTTTGGATGCCAGGTATAAATAATGACATTAAAAATTTAGAATTATCATGTTTATTTTATAATCTTGCTCAAGGTATTGCATCTCATGCCAATTATATTATCCAATGTAAATAGTCTATAATGTGGGTTATTATTCAGCTGATGTTATTTATCTAATGTAGTCGACTATTTTGCAAACAATTCAAAACTCAAATATCAATATGACAAAATATTTTGCTGAGAAACAAGAACCGTGTGGAGAAGACGTAGAACGTCCATTCGGAGTTCTTCAATCTCAATTTTCAATTGGTGGAACTCCAGTTCGTTTTTGGGATAAAGAAGTGTTGCATGATATTATGACCGTCCGTATTATTATGCATAATATGATAGTGGAAGATGAATCCGATCTTAATGAACTAATTACAGAAAGATGGGTGGTTCGGGAGGCAAATGTAGTTCGGGTACCAAGGAAACATGTTTGATTTCAATAATTTATTGCTCGATATAAACAGATTAGGAACATGGATGCACATTGTGAATTAAGGAATGCATTGGTTAACTCATAACATTTTACTATTTATTTATTTATTAAATTAGAAAAGAATATACCAAGAATATTCTTTTAGAGAGGATTATATAGAAAGAATGGGTTGAAGTTCATAACACTGTTGAACCTGTAAAATAGAGGGGTTTTATTGTACGTAGGGCTGTCAATTCGGGCGGTTTGGTCGGTTTAGGTAAAGTTCGGTTCGGTTTAATCGGATTTTTTCTTTTAGAGGAACCGTCGAAACTGAACCGTAAAATCTGTTACACCGAACCGAACTGACCGAATATATAATCGGGTTTCGGTTCAACCAAATTAATGCAACAACCCTACTTTTTTTTTTTAGATAAAAAAAAAGGGCAGATGGAGAAGATGACGAGAGGCAAATGAAAAGGCAGATCCATTCCAATCCCAGATTCTATAGAATTCAAAATAGCCTATATATGCAGATTCATGCCGTACATATTATTACAACACCAAACCAAGGATTCTATATCCAACACCAAACTAACAAGAAACCAGATATGAAAAAAAAAAATGGGGGCGCTGATGGTGTCAATTTGAATCGACACGGATGGTGGAGGCCAACGTCTTTTCAAAAAAATTGGGAGATTAGAAGATGAAGAAGGTGGAGAGAATAAACAATGGAGGAAGATGTGAGGTGGGGCTGAATAGTTGAGGTCTGGAAGATGATGGAGATGGAGAAGATGACGAGAGGGGGAGAGAAAAAATTTTGGAGAAGAGAACTGGCGGTGTGCGGCGGAGAGAAAAAAAAAATTGGAGAAGAATAGAGACAAAGGAATCTTGGATTGGTAATATTAAATGTTTTAAAATATATGTTCGAGTTTTCGGGCAGGGCTCGAACAAAATAGATATTACCCAAACCCGCACCGAACAATGACTATATTTTTCGGGTAGAACCGATTATCCGCCCGATACTTTAAAAATCCGATCCGAAACCCCGAACTTGATTCGGGTCGGACGGGTTTTTGGGTTGACCCGACTAACTGACACCCCTAATTGTACGGGCGTCTCCAACTGGCCCTCTAAATAAAAAGGGGCCGGTTAAAATGACGGAGGGAGCTTTCCAAGGACCTCTATATTTTAATGGCTCTGCTCCGCCATCCCTCTGTAGCGCTCCGGGCTCCTGGATATGTCCTAGAGCACTGTTCACCCGCTACTTTGGTGGCGGGTGGGGTTCCAGTCCCCATTTATTTATTTTTTCATTTTTTTATTAGTTTGTGGGGCTAAAGTTTGGGCTTAGGTTAGATAGTTTTGGGCTTTTTTTTGTTTTATTTGGGTTGATTAGCCGACCTGGGCCTAACATAAATTTAGTAGTATAGTTTTAAGTAATTGTCGTATGCTATATATAATTATTATATGTTTATTTGATGATCATTGAAATTAATTATTGTAATAACCTACTTATATATGATTCTTTTGTGTTTAATTATGTATAATAGTTAAATTAAAATAAAAATTTTATTTTCGTAATCAGATAATTATTATAAAATAGAGTTTTAAACTAAAAGCATCTACCATAACTCATATAATTCAACA